CAAGCTGCTAAGGCCGCATCTCTCTGTCTTCGTTGGAGGTGAGGTTCGTTGCCCGGAGTGTCTGGTGTTCTTGTGTTCTTGCTGACGTAGAGCACCGTCACCCTCCTGAAGTCATCATCTGTGAGGCCTTCATAGAGTTCTTGGTGGCTCTCCCTGTGTTTGGGGTGGGTCCAGGCTTCCCAAACTGCTACAACCTGCACAATGACCTTGACGGCAGTGCTGCGTGGTGTGTTTGGCCAAAGCTGCCAGACCTGCTATCAAAGCTCGGGTTTTGGTCTGCGGATTGGGCGGGATCCCTGTTAGGGCTCCAAGTCTCTGCAATTGTTCTGTTCGCAGGGTGTGGACACAGAGCCCAAACACCCACAGTTGGCTTCGGATGTCATAGGTGGACGGTGTTGCAGCCAAGGTGAATGCCCATCCTTGGTATTGGTGAGGTTGTATCGCCTGGAGATCTCGCCATGTGCCGTGCCCATGGTATGGATGCTGAACTTGTTGGTGTTCTTGTGGTTCTAGAGGTATCCAGCCAGCGTTCCATAGAGGCTCTTCATCGTGCTGGGTGAGCCTTTCCGCCCATGCAGGTGGCATGGGCCTATGGCCACGGCCGTGGTGCCATTTGCACATCCACGCAATGTGCTTGGGTGTTGCTGGAACGCCGCAAGTGGGGCAGAGCTTTGGCTTGCCGTGCTCTCGAAAGTGTATTGCTCCTTGGGCCCAGGTCTTTAGGTGTGTTCTGTGCTCCTTGGGCACAGTCTTGATCTGTTGGCGGTACACATGCCAACCCAACCCTGTGAGTAGGTGCTGGTGGTGTTGCCTCTGAGCTAACCTGGTGGTGCGTTGGCTCTTGGCCTCTGTCAGCAGAGCTTTTTCTATCTTCCACTAAGGATCTTGTAGACTGATCTCATTCTCCAACATGTAGTCGTTTGCTTGGCGGGTCCGCCGGTGAAAGGTGCTGGCCTGCCATTTCCATTCAGCCAGGTAGGCAATTGTAGCCGCCAGTGGTCCTTTCACAGTGTACCATGGATGGATTTTGGTGACCAACTGCTCATGGATTTGGCGCCAGGCCTGCTCGAGATGTGGTAGCTCAGTTGGCCATGCCTGGTACAAAGTGTGCAGGGCTTTGACGTGATGTATGGAGGGGTCAGCCAGGACCAAAATGCCTCCATGGGTGCCTGCGTTGTCCTTGTTAGGCCATGCTGGGATGCCAAACACCGTGCGGCCTCTGATGGTGAAATATTGACATATCTCATGGTGCGTCTGTGGATCCGGGTGTGTTTCAGCAAAGACATGCGCATCGCCCTCCCGAGTCCAGTACCAGTCTATCACCTGTCGTCCAAAGTTGGTAACGTTGCCATAGTGGAGGCGGTTGTGATCCTGGACCTTTCTGGCTCGCTTCTGTGGGCTGGGATGAAGCGGAGGATCGAAGTCTGGCTCCTCAGGCGCAGGGAGATTCTGCCATATTTGTTGCGGCGTCCTGAAAGTGTCCAAACTGATTGCCCAAACCTGAGTAATTTGACTGGCCAGTTTCGGAGTCAAAAAGGGCAGGTGGGTGGGCACCTTGCCGTCGTCTGCCAGCCACATCAGATCCCTGTAGATAAGAATGGCAAAATAGTGTCCAGTGGTATGTGTCTTGCCCCTGTGGCAAATGAGGACAGCAGGAACAAATTCAGTTGAAGTTCTGGCAAAACCATCTAGTGATCTTGGTACCGTGAAGGACCCATATGGATTGAACGGCTTGTTGTGCTTTGTGGCGATGCCATCCACACTGGTGTTCCGAGTCACATGACATATGAGGATTCTCTTGTCTCTTATAAGAGGTACTGTCCCATTCCTTGGTTGGCCCAGTTGTTGATGAGCTCTTGGTATTTGACATCATCTGGCCAGTCATCCGGATAGGGAACACGGATGGGCATCTGGACATGGTCCTCCAGATAACCATTCTCCTTGATCTCTGCGAACCGATAGTGGAAAGCTCTCGTTTGGGAGTGTAGCCACAGAGAGTTCACAAAGTGACTGGCGTCCCCTTGTAGATTGAGATCATGCTGTTGCCATAGTGCACCAAGTCCTGGAAGTTGTTGGTGCAGATCAACATGTTCTGCCGTGTCCAGAGACTCCTGCACTGCGTCTTGTAAATTTCCCCATGGTTGTGTGCTGGTTTCCTGCAAGAGGGCACAGGTCCATGTAAAAGCTCTCCACGAGGCATTGGCAAAGCAGTGTGCACTTGGATTTCCAATCGTCATAGTCAGATTCTGCAAAATGCAGCCTGTGGTCGATGCATAGTCATGGGCCATATGGATGTGCTCCGGTGTGGATGTGGCAGAAGGAGTCGTCGGCAATGCTCCTCCTTTGATGGACACGTAGGTCGGGCCAGTCACAAGTACAGGCACATCATTTCCATTTGGCTGTGAACTCAAAACTAAGGTAGAATCGATTGTCTGAAACTTGTGTTCAGGTGGTACTTCAAGTTGACGTGAAATCTCCCCTTCATGTAGCTGGAAGTCTGTTTCCTTGTTGTAATTGTTTGCAAGGTGATTGAGGTGTGTCTGTTCCCCTGCACACCCTGTGATGCCAGAGTGAATGGATAGCTCTGAGCCCGAAGCAGCGCGGCAAACCCATTCGAACAGGTTCAAGGAGTCCCCTGAAGTTGGTGCCTCATCAAAATCGTCAAAGGGAATAGGCGCGTGTTCCCCTTGAAGCTTCCCCTGTGTTGCAGGCCTGCTGTTACCCACACAACTGCCCTGCTGGTGGTGCCGCAGACGCTTCTGTTTTCCTTCTCTTGGTTGGATCTTCTCCTTCCATGTTGGGACGTTTGAGAAGTCCGTGCAGCTGGCTTCGCTGCTCTTCAGTCAACGAAATGCCTAAACTTGTCACAAAAGATTCGACGGCCATTCGGATGGGCTCTGTTGTAGCCTCGGCCTGATTGAGCTCCTCAGGTTTTGGTGTCTGGTTCACTGCAGCCATGTACTTGTCTGAGAGTTCTTTGAGCTTCTGCTGAGCTTCGATTGGATATCCTGCATATCCTGGAGCATTGCTGCATATTGACTCTTCACCTGATCAAGTTTGGCTTGTAGCTGGGTCTTACGAATCGATTGATTCTTGAGCTCCGTGACTTGCTGCTTCAACTGCTGTGCAATCTCTTTCTCAGTTTGTGGTAAAGGTGCTGTCAAACGTGTGTCACTCAACCCCGGTTCCTCCTGTGCCTTCGGCCCGACTCCCAGGGCCTGGAGTTTCGTCTGGATGGTGTCAGGGATGACATCCCATGTGGCTGTCAGCAGCTCTGCAGCTTGTTGTTGATCTTTGGGTCGTCGAAGGGGTCTGGGCTAGCCCGGTGGAGTGTCCATGAGCGCCTCTTGGTATGTCCTTCTTGGCCATGTGGAGTTTGACGTAGGGACGTAGGTCCATTGCCTTTGCTTGCATGGCCTTGTCCTTTTCCTTTTCCATTGGCTTTGGTGATGTTCCACCAAGTCCCGCACTTATGACAACGGTTGCCGCTCTGGATCCAATTTCTGCAGCTGCTTTTACTGCAGACTTGGTATGCTCTGCACCAGGAGGTTGTCATAGTCCCGGATGACCTGGGTGTCAACAGCCTTGAGAAAAACCGAGGCTGTGGTTGGTGGATCAGAGCACCGATCTCGTTCTGGCTAGAGAGCTCTGCTGTGAGAAAGTGCCAGTGCCGCCTCTGATCCCCAAGATGTAGCCAGGCGAGACCTGCCAGAGGTAAAAGAGCAACTCAAAAACTTGGATGTTGTCCAGCAAGATTGCGAGCAAAGAATGTGTTGTACGTGGGGAAGTACAGGATCAGACCTGAGAGGTTGTCCTGGATATGCTCGCAAAGGAATTCGCACCAGCCCGTCTTCGTGGGCCGCGGGCTTGGACACCTCGTGGCTTGAGCCATGTGTGTATGTATGTATGTATGTATGTATGTATGTATGTATGTATGTATGCGTGTATGTATACCCTCTACCTAAAAATTGCATTTGGCTTGGGACGATACGTCAGAAATTGCATTTTCCAATTTCATTTAAAAAGTGTCTACTTGGCTATCATCCAGGGTGACCCAATGTCTACCCAATGTCTACCTAGTAGTCAAAGAATAACAACAGCAATGATCTAAATGGAACTCTGACTGTGTAGAAAGCAGCTTCAAGTGAAAACTCTTCGATATATCGACTTGCCGAGCTTAGCTTGTTTGCGATGCCACCGAACACAGGGGCCGCCGAAGGATCCGAGGGGAGCTGAGCCAACGCCGAGACCTGCGAGCGCTGTAGCGTTTTCCGTGCCGGCTGACGGGCTGAAATGAGTACTGGTAGCAGAAAACAATGTCCAAGACCCAATCATTTAGTTGTACCACAAAATGGTATCGCTTAAGGTTTGCCCAGGTTAAAGGGAATAAGGCACCAAGACATGACTAGATGGTTGTTCCAAAATACGAATATCTCCCCTATAGTAATAGGAGTATCCTCCAACAACATCAGCTCGTAAACTTGTGCACGAGCTTTCCTGATCCCACCTATTTTCCCGGCTTGGTCGCTCCCCGTTTTCACCATGCCATCCCTGAGGCTGTGGAAACTCTCAGCCTTCTGGGGTCATTCTGCAAGATGTCAGCCCCTATTTTGTGATACAAACATGAACAGATCCGGCTCACGTTAGCCAGACCTTGTTGTAGGACCATGCTTCGCGATGAGGCCGCGAAAGATCCGCGAAAAATGTTTTTCTTCCCGCGAAGAATGGCCATTCTAGGATGAAAGAATATTGGTCAACCACAATGTATGTATTTGTATATATATATAGATGTATAAGTGGAATGTAAAGTAAGGTTATGTTTTGTTTTGTTTTGTTCGTGTATGTATGTATGTATGTATGTATGTGCGTATGTATGTATGTATGTATGTGTGTATGAATGTATGTATGTGTGTATGTGTGTATGTATGTATGTATGTATGTATGTATGTATGGGTTTGATCCAACAAATTTTGACTAGCGCAGCCAGAGTTGCCCTTTAGGCTCTCTGGTGTGATCGATGGGCTTGTTGGCTGCCCTGAAGCAGGGGTATGATCCTCAGGTTTTGGTTTTGGCAACTATCGTGCCTACCAGACTTCTGATGTGTATTTGAATGTGCTACGAGTTGCAGCATAGGGCAGGAGGAAAGGTTGTAATCTCTGCCAGGTAGCTGCACCAAACTGGTCTGAGAACATGTGGCTTCGAGCTATGCAGCGTCAGACTCTCAGAAACCTTTGGGTTTTCGTCTAGAATTCTTCATTTCCCTGTGACACTGCAAACCTGGTTTGTTGAGGGCTCCCTAAGTCACACCAGGTGGCGACATGCTTGCAGTACTGAAGCAGCAGGCTTGTGCTTCTTTTGCCGGTCACACAACCCGGTGCCTTGGTAGCTTTGCCAGGTCCTGGGTGATTTCTCCAACGTGGAACGCCCCGTCTTAGAAGCTGCGCTTGCCGCCCACCACCGCTAAATTGCCACTAATCCGAAAGCAGGTTTCTTTCTGGCGGTTGATGCATTGGCATAGGCTCTGTGCATTTGATTGCATCAATTTTGGGACGTTTGGCACTTACATGATCTTACATGTGATGAAAGCTAGCATAGAATTGTCATGCTGTTCCTGGTTCCAAGGTTTTGCAATGCGGCCATGGAGCCGCCAAAGAGAGCTTCATTTGACAAAGCAAACAACTTGGATGAACCTGGATGCGAGGGGAAAGGAAGACAGGAGTGCCTTCTATGATTTCTATGGGCTTTAGGTGCCTTCAGCTCGCTGGCCGGCCATCTCACCTGGCCCTAACAAAGACCTTTGTGCACTCCAATCTTACTCATCTCACTTCACTTCGCATCTCATCCATTCTCATTCCATCGTCAACCCCCTTACAGCAAGTCATGTCTTGTCTGATTTTTTTTCTGGAAATCGATGGTCAGAACCCTACGCAGGCTGGTGCCGATGGTGGCTGGCTGCTTAGACATCTGTACGGTGGGATCTCCATGTTTGGAGAGTTGCTCAAACTTCTTTAAATAAAGAAGAGCGATATGAAGAAACAGGAGAAAGATATATGAGTACAGAAGAAAAAAGACGTAGTACGAGAAAGAGAAGAAGCAGACAAAGCAATGAACTAGATGCAAGGACCTCAGAATAGAAAGCAAAGACATGAAAGACTTGGACACCGTGCGACCCAGACGGATTCGCCGCCGCCGGGCCTTTCGCCAAAGGCCGGCAGAGCCAAAGTGAACATGTTCTAGATACGATGAGCTAAGAAGCTGAGGTTTCTGCGAAATAGGACAATACTCTTTTCACAATGAAGGTCCAATCCCTTGAAAGGGTGCAACAAGAAACGTAGATCGTGGCAGCAACTGCACAGTAAGAGAGTGAAATGCTTGCCAACACCTGCTTCCCGCAGAATGACTCGCCGCCTGGCCTGAAGGTTCCTAACAAGGACCTGATCGATGCACTCCCAGCATTGTTGTGTTTGACGTTTCATATGACATCATTAGGTAAAGAAGACATGTGAACACATACTATATATATTACAATATATATATAATCTATATAATATCACATATATATAATACGGTGTGCTTTGGAGCTTTGCACGTCCACACCTCGGAATGAGTGCAGGCTTGGCCGACATTGGTTCGGCCTACAGGCGACTACCTGGCAGAATCATTTGCCCTGAAGTGAGTTGGTAGGTGAAGGATGCTGAGGGTGAACCTAATGGCGATGGCCTCCAACCTAATTTGAGTCGGTAGGTGAGGGTGAACCTAATGTGGCTCGACCATTTAGTCCAGTGTTTCTCCGGCTCGTCCGTGAAACATTTGTGGTTGTGCGAGGGGTGGGAGCATGCAACTTCTGCCTGGTTCTGCTAAGATTGGTTCTTCATTTCAGCTTCAGGTTGTGGGGATCTGGGGTGTGGGGCCGTTTGGCCCCTCACATGGAAGCTCCTAGTAGCGTCCTTGTTACTAGTAGTAAGGCCAGGAGCCCCTAGTAGCGTCCTTGCCCCTAGTAGCGATGCCCTTTGCTCCTAGTAGCGTCCTCCTAGTAGTGTTGGGATTGCTGGTTTCACTTCTTCATTTCAGGTGTGTTGGGTGGGGAGTGTTCTCATGTGTTCTCCCTTTGAGAGACTCGGGTGAACGGGATTGGTCTGGAGATACCGAATGGGCGCCCAGGCAGGATTCGTGGGGTATCCGAACCTTTGAACCGTCCAAAATCCGTCAAACCTCTTAGATTCCTTTGCTAGTAATTACAAGTGCCTTGCTAGTAGTAACAGGTGCCTTACTAGTAGTAACAAGAAGCTATTAATTACAATTCTAATTAAACTATTCAGGGGCAAAACATCATTGAATTTGGTGGGTCGGCGTGTGCTGCAGTTCCTGGGGTGGTTGATGGCCCTGGCGTGTCGTGTGTCTGTGCAATCATATACTGTACTCTTCTATCCTCTCCTTCACATGGCTACTGATTTGATTGGGTCGGTTGTAGGAGTTTCTCGCGTTACACGTAGCGCCGCAGCGAAGTAGGAGTTTGGTTTGATAGCCATCCTGCTACAACATCTACAAATTAGAAGGCTATTGTCTATTGTAGAGGAGAGATAAAGTAAGCATAGAATTATACAACTGCAGACTGCGGTCAACTGTCTTTCACGCGAATGTGGCTTAACACTTGCAGCATCAACTCAACTTCAACAACAAAGGTGGGTCTTTGTTTTGTTGCAAGTGTCCGGCTGCACATCTATGTTGCATGTTTATGACATGTTTGGACTTTCTTCTCAGGCCCACTGTCACACAGCCACCCCTTTGGATGTACAAATAGCATCATGGTTGTGCGTTACCTTTGGGCATGTACCCTCAGGAGGTATCGTTTGCCACGAAAAGCAGCTTGCCATGATCTCAAATCACAAGAGTATTGCACTTGCACACATTGTGTGGAGCGATGACTTGGTTTCAGTAGCACATCCGTTGCTGCTTTGCATCAAGGTCCTCCGGCCACTCGTCTACATCATTGACGATGGCTAGCATGTATTCAGGCTACACAACGCTAAAGTTCTGAAAGAGAGTACTTGCTGCTCACGAACAATAAGCTACTAGTAACAAGTGCATCGCTTCTAGTAACAAGTGCCTTACTAGTAGTAACAAGAAGCTATTAGAAACATGTCCTTAGACTCATACTCCGCAAAACTTGAAGCATGTTCATGTGATTTCATGTGTCGGTTTACGCTACTCACTGGCAGATACAGATCCTGGCCATTTGGATGGAGTTCAGCTGTCAAGCGCCTGTGTTGATGGACTGGACTTAGAGCCGCGGAGCCAAGCTAGACCCTCCATGTTTTGCTGGTGAAGTTGCAGTGCTCGTAAGAAAAGCCTTCAAAATATATAGAAGCAGTGCAAAGCAATGCATAGCAATGGATAGCAATGCAACACAGTCACAAGAAAACACACGATAGAAGCAATATGAAGCAATGACCAGGATCAAACAATGGCAACGCTGAACCTTTCTGAGGCGTGCAGAGTGGCGGATTGGTCAGTTGTCGCAGAAGCTGCGTGGCTGTATGGGCAGGTCAGGTTGTGTGGTGTACTGGTACCCATCAATTTCTCTCCAGACTTTAGTTTTTTTAGATATCATTTTACTTCCCTTGTCTCCACCAAGCAGACAAGCACAACAGGCTTCGTCATGCAAGCTGCGAGATTCAAACTTGCCACAGGGAGCCGCTATTGGAACAAGAGTCTTCGCATATTTGTGTTCGGTTCATCCATGACAAGACAGGCAATCATAGACAGACAACTGTTTTTGACAATCATCGCCCAGACCTTGACATGTTTTTCTAAGAATCTAGAGGCACAAGAAGCATGCAGAAACGGCATCACACCCCGAATTCAGAATCATTCAACCAAGATCTCATTTTTGTCTTTAATGTGTCGTATATGATGCTTTAGGGCGTTGAGTTCTAGACTCAAACAAGGGAGACACCATAAACAACAGTAAATTTTGTAACTGCACTACGGAGATTGAAGTCTTGAAGGCTTGAAACTTTCAGAAGCGCCATTGCTTTGCCATTCCTTTGCCCATGGAGCCTTCTGTGGGTTTTGTGCCGGGACAAAGGCGCAGATCTGGGATGAAACATTTGAACATTCTACCATAGTCGGTTGTTCTATTTCAGAGTGGATCAAATGCAAGCCCCGCCCCGCCTCCCCCTACCCCATACACGCACACACACACGCACACACCAAATATGTCCGCTTTTTGAGATTATCAAAGGAAGTTTAGGGCAAAACTTCCGTGTTACGGACTTTCAAAAGCTCTAGGTATAGTTAGCTCTAGTTCCAGTCAGCTCTTCAACATGCATTTTGGAAGGAAGTCTAGAGTCTAGTTCCAGTCAGCTCTTCAACATGCATTTTGGAAGGAAGTCTCGCAGAATGGCTTCGTTTTGCAGGTGTTCAACATGCACATTGGAAGGAAGTCTCGTACGAAATGCATTTTCGAGAGATAGCGGACGCACGAAATGCTATGTTTTACCATACAAAGTGTGGCTCCGCACCTGGAGAGTCAAGCTCTGCGGAACGACGGTT